CCTAGTTGTTCAGTGAGAAATTTTTTCATCGAGAATTTTAAGTACCTTTACGTAAGAACCACGCATACCTGAATTTGAAATACTTAAGTTTAACTTGAACAGGGAACACTCCCTCAAAATTTCAGCTTTCCAGCTTTTCTGACTGCCGAGTTAGCAATTCTCCCGCCAAAACCTTCACATACCTGTGCTTAGATACTCACGTGCTTGGAAAGCTGAATTTGAAAAGTTTAAATTGCACGCGGACAGGGAACATCTGCCTAAAACTTCAGCATTCCAGCTCTTCTGGTTGCCGAGTTAGTAGTTTTCTTTCAGAAAGTTTCATCCGCCCTTACGTAAGTAGCATGGATAGCTTGGGGCCGAATTTGAAATATCTGAGTTGTACCCGGATAGGGAACATCCCCCCAAAGTTTCAACTTTCTAGCTTTCCTGGTGCCCGAGTTAGCAATTTTCCCTCTAAAACTTTCATAGATTCTTACGTGGGTGCCACGCACACCTGGGGGTTGAATTTGAAATCTTTACCTAATACATGCACAGGGAATATCCCTACAAAGTTTCAGCCTCTTAGCTCAAGTGGTTCCCGAGATCGCTTTCCCGCCAAAAAATTTGGATATTTTTTTAAAGCGTCTGTACACGGTACCCAGGCGTCCAAGGGGGATGGAATTAAAACGGGAGGATCGCGCATGGTATGGACACATAATCCCAGAGTTTCAGCCCTCTAGCTTTTCTGGTTCTCGAGTTGAAAGTGGGTGACAAAAAGTACGAACATACAGACACACACACACACACACACACACCACAGCCTCTTCCCAATATGCGTTTTTATGCGTTTTTGCTGCGCAGCGCTACAGCAGCGCTGATAGCGCTGCACAGCAAAAAGCATAAAAACGCATGATGGGAAGAGGCTGTGTGTGTGTGTTCGGAAAGCGAGTGCATTTTGTCACTCACTTTCATCTCAGCAATCAGTAAAGCTGGGAGGCTGAGACTTCGGATATATGTTCGTACCCCGTGTGTCATCCTCCCGTTTTAAGACCTTTCCCCATACGCGCCTAAACCCCGCGCACGGGACCCCCAAAGAAATTTGTTGGCGGGAAACGATTTCGCGAACCAGGCAACGTAGAAGGCTGAAAGTTTGCAGGGATATTCCCTATGCACGTACGAGACAAGGATTTTAAACTCACCCCTCTAGCTCCCCAACCACAGCCTCAAGCAGCTCCTGAACCCAAAAATCGTTAGCAACTCGGACC